GACACGACGGCGGACGAGGAGGATGGCGGGATGACGACCGCCGCGGTCGCGGTGCTGCGGCTGCTCGTCGCGGCGCAGCGGCTGCCCGGCGGGGATCGCGCGGCGGGCGCGCGGGTGGTGTTTCGTCTCCTGCAGGAGGTGATGCGCGGGGCGTTGGCGCGGCCGGAGGCCCTCGCGACGGTGCTTTGGCTGGTCGGGGAGAACCTCTCCTACCACGTCGCGATGGCGGCCGCCGCGCCGGAGTGTTTCCGCGTGTTTGTGCGAAAATTCCCCACCCTCGAGACGAACGTGAAGGAGGAGGTGCTCCGGCTTGGGTGTAAGATCTGGCTGCATCTCGAGGGAAAAGGGGAGCTGGTGGAGCGGTTTCGCAAGATCTTCACCTTTGCCCTGGAGCTCGCGACCTACGACGACTACTACGCGATCCGAGACCAAGCCCGGTTGTTCCAGGGCGCTCTCGAGCGCGATAGCGACACCTTCAAGGCCCTGAAGGCGACGCTTCTGAGCGAAAAGAGCCCGCCCACGGTGAGCGAACCCCACCCCGCGTGTTCTAGCTACGAGCTTGGCACCTTTTCGCACCTCTGGGGACATCCCGTTGGGGGGTACGAGGAGCTCCCCGCGTGGCGGGTGGAGCCCCCGGACGATTCGGTGCGGATCCCCCCAGGGGAGGCCGCTTTGGAGTCCAGGCCGGAGCACATCGACGACTTCGTGGGCCGCTCTTCGCGCTCCCTTAGCCTCGACGAGGACGACTCGGGCGAGGAGGAGGGGAGCGAGGACGACGTGGAGACCTCCGAGACCGGCGGAAGCAGCACCGCGAGCGACGAATCTAGCACGGAGTCTTCCGAATCGTCCTCGGAGGAGGAAAGGGACTCCACAGCCTCCGGATCGGGGCGTTCCAGCGCGGGGAATCGCACGGCATCGGCTTCAAACGCGGCGGTGACGGCGGTGCGAGGGAAAATTATGGTGCGGTTTAGCAAAACCGTCCATTCCGAGGTAACGCCATCGCCGCTGAAATCACCGATGCAGGCGGCACCACCGACCTTCTCAACACCGCCGCCTGACGCCTCCGAACAGACGGCGGCCGAGCATGCGGGTGACTTAGGGGACGACGAAAGCTAGACCTTTGTTTTCCAATTAGAATCAACTGTGTAACCTAAAAGAAAGGAAAAATACCTGAAGATGGTTATGGGATTGTATCATTCAAAGGTTGTCTTCTGTTCTTATTTGGAAAAGAAAGATTGAATTCTATATTCATATCGACGTCCACGTACAGATGCCATCCTAAATACTGAACGATACGTATTGTTGTATTTGTGTGTATACAAACAAAAAAAAACGGGGGAACGATAGGAATGGGTAAGAATAGACTGGAGCATGGACAATAAATGCACGATATTTGTCCTTAAGATTTTTGGAAATATCGGAAGTGTAAATTAAACTAACCAGGCAAAGTTAAAACTGGAAGAGCAAAAAAAAATTTGAGAACATAATGTTCTGCTCACCGTATTGGGTTGGTATTTGCACTCCTTTTGCTATTCTTTCTTTATTTTTTATGCTATGAAAGGATATTAACGATTTTAAATGATCTTTTTTTATTCCTCCTTCCATTCCCAGTAGTTGCGTTGTCAACCTTTACTCTTACGATAATAGTCCCTTATTCAGACTATATCCAAGGCATTTTATTTGATACTACACTTATTTGGACTTTCAAAACAAGAGATTAGGTTAGTTGAACTTAATCGTTCACCTAGGTGGATTCAACAGCTTTTATAAACTTTCAAGATCGTATTTATAACTTTGAAGTATAGAATTAATCACAATCTGACAGCAATAGGTGGCAAAGCCTTTCTTGCTTGTACATATATAGAGTGTCATCATTTTCAGCGTTTAATCTACTTTTTTTTTTTTTGTTGCAGTGCTGGGTTCATTTTTGTAGGAGCAAAAATTACAACCTTAGTTTTAGTGCCTCGCCACATCTCTAACATACACGGCGATATACCTTGTATAGCAAAGTCGCTCATTTTATTTTTGGAATCATCTTCACGTGATTCAGCTTCAAGCTAGTGTTACTCTTTTTTTAAAGTTTAAGATTCTCAAGGAGTTTGTGTGAAGTCCCGTGTTTTTGTTCATACATACATACACACACATACACGCATACCAAGAAGAGAATATTCAGTGACACTGTGGGTATACATTATCGAAAATAATACCTAAAAGGTGTTTAGTAATCTCGTGAAACTAAAAGGAATATTATTATTAATATTTCATCTTTATTTGATCTTGCGTTAACCAGGGACTCCTTTCTCTGCGCTGAAAAAAATATAAAAACGTACACTTAACGTTGCCGATATCAGTAGTTAATACAAAAAAAAACATGTCATACATGGATACGATGAGTGATACCCCTATGAGTATCAAAGGGGAGTTGTGGTTGTGTGCTGACAGCCGAAAGCCGGCTAAGGTTGGTGCTGGGCGTGGGAGAAAGAACTTCATAACCGTTGATAAAAATCGCTTTGTCGTTTACTCTTCCCGTTCCCAACAGGGAAAACAGATCAACGAGATCCCTTTTCGCAGTATGAAGCAAATTGCCTGGTTTACGCATCACCCCAAACAATCGTCAGTAGCTGAGGGTGCTACAGGAGGAGGAGGTGGTGGTGCGAAGGCCCTTCATCGCCGCACCGACGCGACCGCAGCAGCCGCCAAAAACATACCGTACTACTACCTCGTCGTGGAGTTCGTGCGGGATCAGATCGACGTCTCTCCGCCGAACGTTACTAAACGTGAACGGGTGGTATTGTGCACAGATGACCAGCAGGACTTCTATTTATGGAAACGATTCGTAGCGGAGTACGAGCTGCCGCCACTGCACCCGGAAAGGTTTGGCAGTTTGAGCGTCGAGCGAGGGTTGGGGGCGCGAGCCGAGAACCCTGTCGGGGGCGCTCCCGACCACGATGATACCACCAGCGAGGATGAGTCGTTTCCGATTAGTGATGCGGCACGAAATGTCGATAAAAACGTCGCCTCTAAATCGGGCGCGTTGCTCGCGGAACTGCAGGAGTGGCGTGATCGTGCCGTAGCGTTGGTGAACGATATCGCGTGCATGACAAACTCTACTCTTCAAGTAAAAGGAGCCGAGGTGTTCGACCCACGGAGTGGAAGACGCTCCTGGGATGAGCACGTGGAGAGACTCCTGCAGAGTGTTGGGCGGGGCTTAAAACCCATGTTAATGTCGACACGCACCGGAACGGAGGGGTTCGACTCCCCTGCTTTGGCGCTCTCGCCACGCCCCCTTCCTAACATTACCGGTGTCTCGAAGGATTTAGCCTCTATTCAGACTGGCGTAGTGAAACCCCAAACACCACAGGGGACTCCTTTGCCAGGCTTAAGTAGGGAGAAATACGACCTCAAGACCGGGGCCGATCTGGAGAATTCTTCCGAGGTAGATAGGAGTAAGGCGATGTCGAAGGCTGTGGCGCCGCACGGCCCCAGCGGTGGGGTTCCTTTCGACGAGCGTGCTCGTCATGAGGACCCCAATTCCGACCGCCTAGCGAAGCTGACCGAGATAATTGAGGAGTGGAATAGATTATTTAAGCGTCATTGTGGCGCTGCCGAGGTAGGCATGGGTGATCTATCGCCCCGCACTGGGCCATTAAGTAGTGATACCACTCCCAACGCACAGATGGGCAACGTAGCGCTTCAAAAATTGCGCATCAGCGCTTTAGAGAATCTTCTCGTAGAGGCGGCGACCGCGAGGAGTTTGGACAAGTCACGCTGGCGAGCATCGGCACGTTCTGACGAGGGCGAACCTGTCGACGGGAGTTCATCTCAGCAGAGTCTGATGGCAATACGGTTGGCAATTAATAAAAAATCATTAGAATTAGAGCATCTAGAGCAGAAATCGTTCGATATGAGCAGACGAGTCAAGCAGATGGAGCGTTTTAACGCGAATTCGGTGATGGCTTACAGTAGTGTCACGGAGGAACTGTTGCAGTTTGTATATCGCGAGTTTTACTCTTTGCGCGGTTTGTTCCTCTCCGTATTACATGATGATGTAAGTGAATACATGTCTCAAAATAATCAAATCACCGGATCTCACGTCACTTATTCAAGAAAGTCGAGCACGGCGGATCCGGCGAAGATGGCTGTCTCGGTAGCTCACTTAGAAGCAATTAATGCTCTTGAACAAGAGCGTCAAGCGGCAAATCAAAAGCAAGCTCAACTTGAAGCCGTTATGCTAGAATTAGACTCCCTTCGACAGGAACGTGATCGAGAAATTAAAGAGTTGAAGGCTAATTTCCTGCTGGCCAAAGAGGCGTGGCAGTTTGATTGCGATGTCCTGCGCGCAAAGCTTCGGGTATTCCAAAACGAGCTTCCAGACCCGAGCACCTCATTACATAGTATGGTGATCCCTGACGATGCTTCGCTACACGTGCCCCTTAGCGCACGTAGCGCTCAACTACCAAAGTTCGGGATCGAAACACCAAGGGGCCGAAATACAGCCTCAGATGAAGCCCAAAGTAAGCAGCTTCTAATGAAGTGGTCGATGAAGTTAGCGACGGATGGAGATAAAATGGAGGATACAATGGGTGTCATAGAGAGTGAAGGCCATCGTTGCGCACACTCTGCGGAGCAACTTCAAAAATTCCATAAGTGGATCGTCTCAGAGGTTGCGCCCCTGAATGCCTACAATGACAGTAATAACCTACTCGAAATGACGAAGAAAACAATAGAGACCTATACTAATCTCATAAAGGATATTGGAAAGGAAACGGAAGTCTTTCAAAACCAAGAAAGCAACATTCAGCAGGTAGCGTTACGACTCAAGCCAGCCATCGAGAAATTAAGAGAGGAGAATAGAATGCTTCGTGAGGAAATCGACACAGCAAAAAAGGAACTGCAGACAGCCCAAAGAAACATTACAGCTGAAATAGAGACACTTGAATCACACCTCACACACATAGAAAATCAGACAACCGGTGGAGATGACAGTTCTCAGAATATAGAACGATTAAAAGCACTCAGCGAAAAATGTTCAAAAACAAAGACTGCAATCATAGATACGATAAAACAGCCAGAGTCAAAAAAAAGCACAGACACAACTGCTTTAATACCGTTATGCGAGAAAATAGTAGGAATGTTAAAGGAAATGAAGGAAACAGAGTCTCAA